GAGCCACTTGTCAAAAGAAACAAACTTTATTTTTAGAACACACACACCGCACCACACAGCTCCTCAGGAAAACCCTCAGAGCCCAACTGCCACCAACGGCTTCCCACAAGCCTCTCAACCCCCCCACTCCTCCTGCTCTTGAGGTTGATTGGCTGGGTCGGGTGGGCAGAGCCAAAAAAAGTCCCCCAATGAGCAGCTCCGTGGTCTGAAAGGGCAGGGAAACAGCCCAATGAGCATCACCACAGAGGAGCCAATAAGTTGGCAGCTAGATGTTGCTGGGGCCGCTGTGAGCCAATCATCAGCTGGCAGCTGGAAGTTTGCTGGCAGCTAGAAGTTTGCTGGTAGCTGAAAGTTTGCTGGGGCCCCTTTCGGCTGTGGCTCTCAACAGTAGTTTTTCAAATTATGGAGGTCCAACTTTTCTGTAGCAAACCATACTAACCCTTCTTGATACACAATTGGTCAAAGGCTTAAAGCCAGTGACACAGACCTAGAGGCGGAGGTCACGTTATACCTACTGACAAGTAAAGGGTTGCAGATATATTTCCGTACCTTATATGTATCACTAAAGATTAGGTCTTTAACGTCACTGACAATTATTATCCCCCTCCCACGAGATGGTTCTGGGGCTTGCATATCCAATGGCCGTGCTTGGTGCCCAGCATTTGCTTCTCCTTGAAGTACTCATTCTGACTTGGTGTAGTCGTTGGGCATGACAACGTCTGGGGCATGAACTCAGAGGGTGGTGCCATACATCCTCTGCATGTGCTGCAGGTGCTTGGCCAGACRGTCCTTCCTGGTGAGCTTGGTCATCCCTGGGTGGAGGCTGAGTCGCTGCCATGGCTTGACATTGATGTGCTCAATCATTCGAAAAGAGGAAGTCCTCCAGTACAGATTCCAGTCTTCAACATTCTGCTCCTGCTCGTCAAATCCCCCCACCCCAGGTGCTCCAGCAGGACGTTCTGCACTACTTCTGGGGTGGTCTCGTCCACACGGAACACTAGTGGCTTCAGGGTGGCCCCTGGAGGTTCATCTTCTGTCTTAAGAGAAGGGTCTCTTTCCTAAGAATTGATCATTGAAAGAGTGTTAGAGGAGTGGGCCCGGGGGTCAGAGCTAGCAGAAGCTTCAAAGAAGGATGGTACCTGACACTCCAACTGCTCCCCTCCCACCCCAGCCTGGCTGGATAGCACCTCTCCAGCAGATGCCCTAAGAGAGCAAACCCGTCTCTTCCCCCCCCACACACACCTTTTCTCTATTCACCAACATATTACATCGCCAGTGACATATTTAAAATCACACAGTTCACAGTTACACCATCAGAACTCTTTCTGATTGTCTGTCCGGGGGATTGAACCCAGGGCCTCACACTCACTAACAGGCACTCTCTGCCACTCACTGGACAACAGCCCCAGCCCCTGCCGAAGCATTGAGGGTAAATGGTCATTTAGACCCACACCCCTGGTGAATCCCCTTGGCCTAAAAAGTGAGTGAGATTACTTACAAAAAAACAGATGCAACACTCCTATAGGCAGATAGATTCCAGCGGGTTAAAAGAAGCTTAACGCCATGATGTCTTCCGGCCTGAGCGGCTCTGGGATGAAGGAGCCCTCTGCAGCAGAGCTCCCCAGGCCAGCATCTGAGCACCCTGGGACCACTGGACACGCTTCAGAGGCAGAGGCTGGGCCAGTCATGTAAGTGGTCAATTGTGAGAAAAGTAGCTGAATAGATAACGTGAGTTTTAAAAGCCCACTAGCAAAAACAATGCGAACGGGAAGATCATGCCTTCACTCTTTGAAAGGTAAACGGAAAATGCAGATTTGACGTTTTGATCTGAGGTTCAGAGATGGAAAACAGGGTCGTTTTTGAGCAAATTGTGCCTGACTGCGGAGCACAGCATCTTGTCGTGACCTGGAGACCTCACATCATATATGTAATATGTCACTCACATATATCTAATATGTCACTCACATATATCTAATATGTAACTTATATATATCTATCTAATATGTCACTCACATATATCTAATATGT